CCCCCCAATAAAGCAAAACTGCATGTTTCAGAGTGGCCTTTTATTGTGGCCAGCCTAAGGCACACCTGTGCAATAATCATGCTGTCTAATCAGCATCTTGATATGCCACACCTGTGAGGTGGGATGGATTATTTCGGCAAAGGAGAAGTGCTCACTATCACAGATTTTTTCAGATTTGTGAACAATATTTGAGAGAAATGGTTATTTTGTGTATTAGAAAATGTTTTAGATCTTTGAGTTCATCTCATGAAAAATGGGAGCAAAAACAAAAGTGTTGCGTTTATATTTTTGTTCAGTGTAATAGATTGCAAACAGATGAATGTTATGGATGTTCTTTCAAAAGTTCAGGTGTTTAACAGTATATTCATTATTGAATACAACACCGTATATATTCTAATATACACAATTTCATACTTAGTACTCAGTATTGTTGCCCTTAACACTCTGTTCTACTGGGAGCTGTATATTCTTAATAATGTGTGCTACAGACGTAATATTGCTCTCATAATTATAATATATAATATAAACAAACTTTATTGCTTTTTAGCCTAGTTTTTTTGTTTTGACAGATATTAAGTGTTTTCTTGTTTCCCTCCCAGATATTGATGAATGTTCGTCTAAGCAACATAACTGCCAGTTCATGTGTGTGAACACCATCGGAGGCTTCACCTGCAAGTGCCCCCCCGGCTTCACCCAGCACCAGACGGCCTGCATCGGTGAGTGCATCAGTGACGGCCTGCACTAAAAATAATGTCTAAAGAGGGACAAATGTAGCATCTTTAATGTGTTTTTGTCCCCCTGTTTGCAGACAACAATGAGTGCTCTGCTCAGAACACGGCGTGTGGAACCAGAGCTGCCTGCGTCAACACGCCCGGCAGCTTCAACTGTGAATGCTCTAAAGGTTTCTCCCTGGACGGCACCGGCGTGGAGTGTGAGGGTGAGTACACGCTGAAGGAAGATCTGTCACACAAGGTCCTTTTTTTGTTCTTCTACCTGTATCTTTTTGTGGTTGTCAAGAAACAACTTAGAACTGTCTGAAAGTAGACGTTTGGTAACACGAGACCACGGTATACAAGCTTGGCCAAAATAGATCCCGTTGACAAAAAACTAAAATATATATGAAAGGAATTAAATAACTGAAATATAAGAGAAGGTTGATCGGGCAATCACACAGACAATCAATGAAGACAATCACCATTTATCACAACATTAAATTCAACCAGTCTCGTCTGCACATAGCAAAAAAAGTCCTGTCAATTTTCCTAAGAAGGAATACAATTCATAAAAGAGAGAATAGGATAAGTTTTATAAAACGTATTGGAGCAACCCCTTATATTGTAATTCATGTTCTCTTAAGTATATGAAGGACATTAAGTATTTTAAACAAGCAGCAAAAAGCAAATGATGCCTGCAGGCTAAAAGAGAGGCAATATTTTTGATCTCATTTGCAGTGAAACAGGTAAATCCTTCAGGGACGCTGAAGATACAGATCAAGGGGCTAGTGAGCATACTTTATGCTAGAAAAAGTACAAATAGTAGCAATGTCATGTTTAATTCCAAAGTCATGGGAACGTTGACAAGTTTCTGGTGTTTTTCATTTGTCAGAAATCAGTGTTTGCACTGAAATGAACCCGAGAGATTAAAAGTGTATTTTCTTTTTGCTCAGATGTGGACGAGTGTGGCAGTAACCACCGCTGCCAGCACGGCTGTCAGAACATGATGGGAGGTTTCCGCTGCGGCTGTCCTCAGGGCTACGTGCAGCACTACCAGTGGAACCAGTGCGTGGGTGAGTCCCACTGATGCATTCTGGGAGTTTGTCCTGTGGATAAAGGATCTGGGGCTCAAGGCTTATTATAAGGCTGCAGCAATATGTTAAGTTATAAATTGTTCCATAATGTATGTAAAAATATGATGTCTCCTTAAAGTGGACCTATCATGCTATATTTGAATAATATAGTGTAGGACCATACCTATATAAGGCATATTTATACTTTTTATTTTTCAAAACACCAAACAGATCATGCATTTTAGCCATTCCTCATTTCGCTCAATTTAACACTGTCTTTGCATGGGCTGATTCTGTGAGAACAGCACCATCTACAGGCCTGGCATATGTACTACAGCGTCTCCAGCGCTTTGAACGGCAATTTCCATGGCTGTCTCCTCCTGATTGGTGGAGTTGGCCCAATAGCCGTAGCGCCACTTCTGTGACGTCATAGAAATGTTCAAATCTGGATCAGTCTGTATCAGATCCGTTGCAGCCCCTTTTTAAGAGATTTGGGTATGGAGGAAAATAGAGAGGGGTTGTGTTTTCTGACACTTGGTGAGTTCCCTGGAACACCGGGGACACATATTCATGTATAAAAGACGTACAAAAGTGCATTTTGCATGATAGGTCCTCTTTAAGTTATTAGTGTAAAGTGATTAAAGAAAATTCTTATGTTTGAGGAATAATGTAATAACCATTTCTCAAAATAAATATATATCTTGATTGATCTGGTTTTATCTAACTCTTAATTAGTTTAGTTAGTTTGTTACAAGGCATTAAGGGTGGATGGGGAAACCGATTTATTAAAAAAATCGACATTTGAATCAATTCACAACTTGATTCTTGATAGAAAATATTTGCGTTATATATTCGATCGACAGTTATCCCACAGAAAAAGTAAAGTTATCGGAAACATGTTGTGACACCAGTATTTCTATGATTCATTTTTTTAAGTGGCAAGTAATGACAAATATTAAAAAGACCTCTTGCATAAGCCTATCAATTTGATTTATGCTGTATGCAGAATTAAATACTTGAACTCACTTATCTTGAATGGAAGAATAACACCATATTTTTCTCGTACACATTCTCATCTTCTGTCTCTGCACTTTTCCCCCTTCAGATGAGAACGAGTGTCAGGGAGCGTCGGTGTGTGGCTCCGCCTCCTGCTACAACACACTGGGCAGCTTTAAGTGTGTGTGTCCCTCCGGCTTTGACTTCGAGCAGGGTGGCAGCGGCTGCCAGGACGTGAACGAGTGCAGCGGCGGCAGCTCCAACCCCTGCATGTACGGCTGCTCCAACACCGACGGAGGGTATCAGTGCGGCTGCCCCGGGGGCTTCTACAGGGCCGGACAGGGGTGAGGGGACACATATGATACGTAATAATAACATAGGAGACGATGTGGTACGATACGATATACCATGGTAGGATAAGATACGATCTGAGATTATACGATACAAAACGGTAACATACTATAGCATACGTTACAATACGATATGAGATGATGCAATTCAGAACGATACCATACGATACCACATGATACCATGCCATACCATGCCATACAATACGATACCAAACTATGCAATTCAATACAATAGTATACTGTATGGGACGATACAATAAGAGATGATACAGAACGATACGATACTCAGGGTTCTTACGGTCATTAACAACCTGGAAAAGTCATGGAAATTCAAAATGCTAATTCCAGGCCCTGGGAAAGTTATGGAAAAAAATATTTTTCCCAAAGTTTTGGAAAAGTCATGGAAATTTAACTAAAATTGCATCAAATATAATTTATATTTTAGCTAATGACAAATAGTAATACTATAATGATAATAAATACTGTATCGTATAGTAATGAAACGTGAAATGGCATTTAACTGACGAGGTGTTTTGCTGGTGAGAGATTTGAGTTGATTTAGCGTGTAGAAGCTATTTGATTTGTTTCAGATCGGCACAACATGTTTCAGACCTTATTTTCCTGTTCCATGTTAAAATAAACAATTTTCAGTGGTACTGCTGAGTCATTCTTTTGGTCATGGAAAATAGGTAAAGCATTGAAAATCATTGGTGAAAAAGTGTATGAACCCTGGATATGGGACACTGGGATCTAATGTCCATACAATTATAAATAGCAGCCTAGAGTCCGGTTCTGTGGCAGTTTATTTTAAACAAGCGGTTGTGGCACCCCTGATTTAAAAACCTAATCTGGACACTTCTGTCTTCTCAAATTACACACCCATCTCGAAGCTTCCTTTTTATTTCAAAGATATTGGAGAAAACCGTACTCTGACAGCTGCAGTCTTTTATACATGCACACAATATCTTTATGTTTCAGTCCGGTTTTAAAGCGCTTCACAGCACTGAGTCTGCCCTTCTAAGAGTGTTCAATGACCTCCTGGTCACTACAGACTCTGGTGACATCCTTATGCTCTTAGACCTCACAGCTGCCTTTTGATACGATTGACCTCTCCATCCTTATCTCTGGTCTAGAGCACTGTGTGGGTATCAGGGGCGCTGCCTTCGAGTGGTTCAGGTCCTATCTGCCCCAGAGATCTTTCTCTGTTAGACTTGGTGGCTTTGCATCTTCTTCTGCCCCCCTACCCTGTGGAGTTCCCCAAGGTTCTATTTTGGGGCCCATTTTCTTTTCTTTATACCTTCTTCTTCTGGACTAATTTTTAGAGAACATGGCGTCTCCCACCACCTTTATGCAGACGACTCCCAGCCTAATACCTTCCCCTAAAAAAAACCACCAGCTCTCTGATGCCCCTGGTGTCTCAATGACTTAAAGGCCTGGATGGCGCTAAACTTTTAAAATATAAATGAGAGCAAAACGGAGGTCATTGTGTTTGGACCAAATGGTGGAGTCCCTTCCATTGACCTGGGTTCCCTGCATAGTGCGTGTGCAAAACCCACGGTCACTAATCTGGGCGTCAACATCGACAGTGCTTTTAAATTGGATAAACAGATGAACTCTGTGGTTCAGTCCAGTTCTTATCACTTGAGGCTCCAGAATGAAACCGGTTTGATCCTTTTTAGACTTTGAGCGTGTAACTCATGCCTTTCTTTCTACGCGTCTAGATTACGCTGCGGCTCGGCTGCTCACAGGAACACGCAAGCATGAGCACATCACACCTCCTCTGGCCTCCCTCCTCTGGCTTCCCTCCTCTGGCTTCCCTCCTCTGGCCTCCCTCCTCTGGCTTCCCTCCTCTGGCTTCCCTCCTCTGGCTTCCCTCCTCTGGCTTCCCTCCTCTGGCCTCCCTCCTCTGGCTTCCCTCCTCTGGCTTCCTCTCCATTTTAGAGTTCATTTGAGGATTCTATTGTTTGTTTTTA